ACACACACACACACACACACATACACACACACACACACACACACACACACACACACACACACACACACACACACACACACAGCTCCCATGCTTTCCCACTTTGCTGACCTCTGTCTCCAACTTGGCCAACCCACCACGTTTCCCTCCAGACACCTCCCCTTTAGCTCCAAGCCCACACATCCAAAGCCTGCCTCCCTCTCCTGAGGCAGCACCATGGTCTCTTTCTCCTAAATTAGAGCCCCAGGAGCTCCTGGCCCAGGTGCCCTCTGACACCCACCCCTCAGCTGGTCTGCCAGGACCACCCGACTGCTCTCCCACCATATCTGCGGTCCCTAGACATTCCACCACCAGGCTGGTCCATCACCCAACTTCTGGAAACAGTGGTTTTCTGTCCCAAACCCACAACCCAGATCTAATCAAGGAAATATCACAAAGCCTAGGCTTAAGGACATCTTACAGAAATATTGGTCTGGAACTAGATATAGTACAGTGATAGAGTGCTCACTTAGCATGTGAGGCCCTGAGCTAGACCTCCAGTGCAAAAGAAATGTATTAATCTGGATTCTTAAAAAATGTCCATATGGCCTAGTGTGGTGGCGCATGCCTTAAATCCCAGCACTCAGGAGGCAGAGGCAGCCAGATCTCTTTGGACTTTGAGGCCAGCCTGAAATCCGTGAGACCCTGTTTCAAAAACAAGCAAGCCAGCCAAGCAAACAGAAAAAGTAACCCCCAAGGGGTTCGTTACTACAGAACAGGAGGTGTGTTGTCTGTGCTGGGGGCACCCTGGGTGGAAACCATGATGCACTGGCCTCAGCTTCCTCCTCTGTTATGAGGCCCTGGACTTGGTGTTAGATTTGAAGAAGTAGCGCGTGTATATATAGAGGTGGAGAGGCTGGCACAGAGCAGGTGCATCCTGAACGCACACAGACACGTACATACGCTCACACATGTACAAGCTTACAATGGGTGGCGGGAGGTGAACAGAGATAGATCCTCTAGGTCAGACTGACACACTTTCTTTGTGACGGTGCTGAGGAGCTTCAGATATTCAAATGATATGTTTCTCCTGTGTTTTGAGGGCTTGCTCTTTCTTTTTTTTTTGAGGCAGGGTTTCTCTGTGTAGCCCTGGCTGTCCTGAAACTCACTCTGTAGACCAGGCTGGCCTCAAACTCATAGAGATCTGGCTGCCTCTGCCTCCTGAGTGCTGGGATTTAAGGCGTGCGCCACCACACTAGGCCATATGGACATTTTTTAAGAATCCAGATTAATATTACATTAATTTTTTAAGTTAAAAAAAATCACATTTGTGCGCACGTGTGTGTACATGTGCATGCAGATACTGTCATGCATATGTGGTGATCAGAGGACAGAGGTGCTGGCTTAGTTCTCTTTTTATCATGTGGGTCTCAGGAACTGAATTAAGATCGTCTGGCAGAAAGATTAGACATTATCTCAAGATGGAGAAGAAAGGAATATAGAGCAGTGATTTCCTCAGTACAGAATCTCTGTTTTGTGTGATGGAAAAGCCCCACAAATGGACAGTAGTATCAGGACATGATATCATGAATATAATAAATCAATATAATTAATATAATTAATGAATATCATAAATATAGTTATTGAATGAATACCACAAATGTAATTAATATCATGAATGTAATAAAAAAATAAATAAAAAAGAAAAAACTAAATAAATAAATAAAGAAATCACATTTAAGCCAGGCATGGTGGTACACACCTTTAGTCCCAGCACTCAGGAGGCAGAGGGAGGTGGATCACTGTGAGTTTGAGGCCAGCCTGCTCTACATGGTGAGTTCCAGGCCAACCAAGGCTATACAGTGAGACTTCATCTCAAAAAAATGAAATGTATGTATGTATGTATGTATGTATGTATGTATGTATGTGTATGTGTATGTGTATACTAAAGAATTGTGTGGAGGTCAGATCTATGTATGCATGTGCATACTACAGCACATGTGTGGAGGTCAGATGTATGCATGTGCATGCCACAGCACATGTGTGGAGGTCAGCTGTATGTATGTGTGTGCACACCACAGCATTGTGTGGAGCTCAGATATATGTATGTGCATACTACAGCATTGTGTGGAGCTCAGATGTATGTATGCATGTGCATGCTACAGCACATGTGTGGAGCTCAGATGTATGTATGCATGTGCATGCTACAGCACATGTGTGGAGGTCACATCTATGTATGCATGTGCATGCTACAGCACATGTGTGGAGGTCACATCTTTGTATCCATATGCATGCTACAGCACATGTGTGGAGGTCACATCTATGTATGCGTGTGCACGCCATAGCACATGTGTGGAAGCCAGATGTATGTATGTGCACGCTACAGCATTGTGTGGAGGTTAGATGTATGTATGCGTGTGCATACCACAGCACATATGTGGAGGTCAGATGAGGACGACTTGTAGGAGTCACTCTCTCCTTCTACCACGTAGGTTCCAGGAATTGAACTGGAATCATCAGGCTTGGCAGCAAGCATCTGCTGCTGATCGTCTCCCAGGCATGAGACCTACTTCTGCTCTTCCTGCTCCTACCGCCTAAATTCGGGGATTACAGGCATGCGCCACTACGCCACAGCTGGTTTATGTGGTGCTGGGATAGGACCCAGGACTTTGTGTACACAGGGAAGCATCCTGCCAACTGAGCCTCGTCTTCGGATCCTGACCCTTTTTGAGATGGTGTCTCATGTATCCTAGACCGACTAGATATGGAGCTAAGGTTGGCCTTGAATTCCTGATCTCTAGCCTCTACCTCCCTGTGCTAGAATGCAGGCATGTGCCATCCACCTCTTTCGCTTGGGATTTCTTAGGCATGGAATGGGCACATGCCACACTCCCTTATCTGGGGACCACCTCTTGCTCCTGGATCTGAAGACCCTGGAGGACAGGCCACCCCACCCTGAGCTGGCGCCTGCTTCATGGACCCTGGCTGTCTCTCACTGCCACTCGAGAAGGGCCTAGTTCATCCTGAGGCCACACGCCCAGCTCCCCATAGGGACTGGCACACACGGGCGTCAGTAGATGTCTGATGAATGAATGTACGAGCAAACAGAGACCAAAACCTGAAGACCTGGAGGCAGATGTGATTAGAAGAGGTCAGGGACATGCCAGGCTCAGGGCGACCTCAAGGATGCACTCTGAGTGTGTCCTTGGCCTTTCGGCTACATCACAGTAGGTATGTCATCTTTATGTGCAAAGCCAGAGGGAGTGATACGGGGAGTGGCAGCCCCACCCACGAGTGGCCGAAGATGCCTGCGGGATGCCGGATGCCGGGGCGGGTGGGGAGGCAGAGGTGCACGCCTTACCTGAGAAGTTGGGGTTGAGATCCAAGGTCTGACCCGTCTCTGGGTTTTCACAGACCACCTTCTGGAGGTGAACATGGGTGACCTTGATCAGGTCCCCTGTGGAGAGGCAACACTCATTCCCAAAGAGCTCATAGACGGAACCTGTGGAGATACAGACTCAGTTTCTATTGTGTGGAGGTCAGATGTATGTATGTGCATACTACAGCATTGTGTGGAGCTCAGATGTATGTATACATGTGCATGCTACAGCACATGTGTGGAGGTCAGATCTATGTATACATGTGCATGCTACAGCACATGTGTGGAGGTCAGATGTATGCATGTGCATGCTACAGCACATGTGTGGAGGTCACATCTATGTATGCATGTGCATGCTACAGCACATGTGTGGAGGTCACATCTATGTATGCATGTGCATGAACAGGGGCCTGTGCCCTGTTCCTTACAAACTCTGCTGCCTTGAGTGTCTTTCTCTCTCTTTCAAATGCTGAGGACTGAACCCGGGGTTCCAAGCATACACCTAAGTACTCTGCCCCAAGCCCCAGCCTCAGCTTTCTTCCTTGTCTTTTCCTGCTAAAGGGGAGCTGGCTCAGCCGGCCATCCTCAGACCATGGGAGGCAGCCCTGGTGGGGCCCATTCTTGCCTTTCTCCCAGTTTGTGCCTCCTAGAGTGACTGGACGGTCGGGGCTGGTCCATTTTCCACATCACTGCAGCCTCTGAGGGTATGTTCCACCCACGAAGCAGTAAATAGCCCAGTGAACCCCAACTCCCCTTTACAGGCTCGGAATACGTAGGCTCCATGTAGATACAGAGAGTCAGCTGGGTACCTAGTTCTTCTAACACTCTGCTTTCTGCTTCAGATGAGGGGGTTGTACGCTTGCTCCATTTATTTATTTGTTTGTTTGTTTGTCTGTCTGTCTGTTTATCTATCTATTATTTAAACAGGCTCTCCTGTAGTTCAGTTTGGCCTGGAACTCTCCATATTGAGGATGACCTTGAACTTCTGATCCTCCTGCCTCTACCTCCCGAGTGCTAGAATGACAGACAGGAGGTGTGCCTCCATGCCAAATTCTCTGCAGTACTGGGAATCAAGTCCAGGGTCTCACGCATGATAGGTGAGCACTCTACCAATTGACCCACATCCCCAGCCCGGATGAGTTGCTTTTAACTTGTTGTTGTTGTTGTTTAATCATGTTTATCTTGAGTACATTCCACAGTCTGGGTGTAAAAGTCAGGACAACTCTTGGGAGCCAGTTCTCTCTGTGCGAGACCCACAGATTGAATTCAGGTTGGCAGCGACCACCCCCACCACCCTGTCCACCAGCCAGCTCACCAGCCAGTGAGCTCCACTTAGAGGAAATAGAGGAGGCTGAGGTTCTGAGCCCCACCTCCAAGTTCCGAAGCCCACTTGGCCTGACACCAAGTCCTAAAGCCATGGAGAACATCTGAAGACACACAGTAAAGATCTCACGGCGCGGTGTGCGCAGTGTGCGCAGGGTCCCCATCCCGCGGGCAGAGGGTGGGAAACTGCAGGCGGCGGCAGTGCCTTGAGGCCACCTGAGAGTCCCTCCCCCAGGACAGCCCTAGTAGGGCCATGCACATGGCCATGAGAAACTGGTGTAAACCTCACTCTAAGCCCTCTGAAAAGTGCACACAGTTGCTACAACGTCAGGGTGTGGACCTTCCGGCAGAGGAGATTATATATTCCTGAGCCTGGGTTAGCCACAGAGTTATATATACCTGGCCCTGCATTGCTAACTGCCGCTGATGCTCCACCGCCCTGAAGATGCATGACTGCCCTTTGGGGAAGAGGGGCCCACAATTTCCCTTTCTAAATAAGTAGTGACAGCAGTTTCTCTTTCCTATAAATGACAGCTCAGGGAAGTGCTGTTAGTGCCTCCAAATGACCAGTACAAAGGAAGACCAGGAACTCAGGATCATCCTTGGCTAAATAGGGAGTTCTAGGCCAGCCTGGGCTACATGAAACCCTGCCTCAAAAATACCAAAAAGGGGTCAGCAAGGTAAAGATTCTTTCATCCCCCAAGTCCCACACGGTGAAAGGAAACTGATTCCCAAATGTTGTCTTCTGACCTCCACATGCACACTGTGGTACATGCATACTCCCCCAACAAAATAAATAAATATAAACAAATGTTCATAAAGCCAGCAGTAACCACACCTTCAGGAAACTTAGGCAGAAGGAAGAAGTCTGCGTTACACAGGAAGAGCTTGTCTTAAACAAAAAAAAGGATGAAGGATGTTAGCTCAGTACTAGAGGGCTGGTCTGGGATTTATGAAGCCCCGGGTTCCATCTCCAGCATGGCAGGAATGTGGGGGGGGGGCGCTGTGGGAGGCAGAACTAGGGGTGTCAAGTCCCGGGTATTTACCTCCCAAACTGGAATTCCTAACCACATGGCCAGCTACTCTACCACCCTCTGCCCAGTCCTGCCCCATGGCCAGCTACCTTCCATGTAACCCTGCACACCCACACCCCAACTTCTGCCACTTCCCACCACCCCAGGTCAGACCAAATGAGGAAACTCAAGTATTGTGACAGAGGTGAGTGAGGGATGCTGGGAGGATGTTCTGGGCTCTAGACAGACAGACAGACAGACAGACCTCAGACGACTGCTTCAGGGAGCCATCAGATTCCAGTGGAGCAGAGACACCCCCCCCCCCGGGAAGTGGAGACCCTCCTCGGTCTAGAGTCCACTTTGCTGGCAGCTGCGATGGCAGAGCCAGGCTCCCTCCCTCTGGAGAGCAGGATGAGGCAGGCGCCCACCACAGACAGGCTTGTTCCCTGAGGAAGGAGCCAGCATCCCAGCCTCTTCCTCCACTCTCCTCTGCCTCCCTCTTTTCAGTGGGGGCTGTGGTTCCTCCCTCCACAGAGCAGCCAAGTGGGTCTCTCATTCACTACATCCCCTTCTCCTCCTCCCCCTACCCAAGTGGTCAGTCCCTGGCCACTTGCTGTTTTGAGTCATAACTGGTGACTGTGTCCCTGGAATGCCTATCTCTTCTCTGCTATGAACCAGAAAAGCTGTGGGCAAGAAGCAGCTGTGCAAGGCAAAGAGCAGGAAGGCTTCCTGGAGGAAGGACCATTCAAGCTGAGAAATGAAGAAATGATCTGACCATCTAGCAACAGGGCCAGGGAGACAGAAGGCAAGGAGCATAGAGCCCAGTCGGAGGGCTGATCTGGTGCTTAAATAATGAACTGGGTGGCGCACGCCTTTAATTCCAGCACTCGGAAGGCAGAGCCAGGCTGATCTCTGTGAGTTCGTATCCAGCCTGGTCTACAGAGCGAGATCCAGGGCAGGCTCCAAAACTACACAGAGAAACCCTGTCTGGAAAAGCCAAAAGAAAAAAAAAATGAACTGGGGTGTATCTCAGTGGTTGGAGCTCAGGGCCCTGGGTTGGATCCCTCCAGAAAGGGAGAGCTGAGAAAAGGGGGTAAGGGGGGCAGATAGAGACAGAAAAAGGAATAACAGCAAGCCAGGCATGGCAATTTCAGGCAGAGGCAAAAGGGTCACTGCAAGTCTGAGGCCAGCCTGGGCTACAAAACTAGATCCTCTCTCACATAAGGGGAAAAAAAGGCAGCAATAACTGTAGCAAGCACCCTAATGCCCGCCTAACACAGAGGACCAGCGATCTCCGTTTACTTATTTATCCACTTACTGTTATAATTGGTCTTGTTACTTGAGACAGGACTTCCTAGGTTGGTAGTCCTTGCCTCGCTGCCACCCAGTGCTACCTCACCGACTTCTCATCACCCACGGGACGAAAGCCGAGGTGCGGGGAGGTGGGTTTGGTGCAAACTCATAAAGCTCGGGCAAGAGGCAGCGTCCGAATTCAAACCCCAACGCCCTCAGGGTCTCACTCTGTACTAGACTGACTAGCCTGGAACTTGTGCCAACCCTCCTGCCTCGGCACCTCAGTGTTGGGATTACAGGCATGATCCCTCGTGCCTGGCTGCGTCCTCCAGGGTCCGCTTACCCTCCAAGTAGACTCCGGAGCAGACCCGCAGCACGCGCGGAAGGGAGGCGGGGTCCAGGAGGCTCACGAAGTCCTGCAGCAGCACGGGCTCCATGGTCCTAGGCGAGGGCTCAGAGGCGTCTGCAGCCGGCAGTGGAGAGCCCGGGGCCACGCCCACTGAGAGGCCACGCCCGTAACCACGCCCCTCGAGCCTTGTTGGTAGGAGCCCAGTTGGTTCGCTAACACTCCCGAACTCTTGGGTGAGGACTTGATCCCCTTGACCTGTCTCCTCGTCTCTAATATTGAATCCTTTCTTAGTTAAAATTTCTACTGTTGTGATAAAACGCCATGACCAAAAGCAACTTGGGAGGAAAGGGTTGATTTCACCTACAGCTCTGGGATCACGATCCGTCACAAGGGAAGTCTGAGCAGGAACTCAAGACCTGAACCTGGAGGCTGGCGCTGATACAAGCCATAAAGGAACGCAGCTTACTGGCTTGCTCCTAATGACTCGCTCAGCTTTCTTTTTTCTCTTTCTGTTCTTTTTGTTGTTTTTTAATTTGAGACAGGCTTTCGCTGTGTGGTTTTGGTGCCTGTCTTGGATCTCACTCTGTAGATCAGGCTGGCCTCGAACTCACAGAGATACGCCTGCCTCTGCACCCTCCCCCAGTACAAGGATTAAAGGCGTGCGCCACCACCGACTCAGCTTGCTTTCTTACAGAGGTCAGGGCCACCTGCCCAGGGTTGGCACTGGCCCCCACCCCATGGCCTGGCCCCATCCACATCAACCATAAATCAAAACTCTGCACGGCAAACTTGTCTCCATCAATGCGATGGAGGCATTTCCTCAACGGAGGTTTCTAGGTAACTCTAGCGTGGGTCAAGTTGACAAAAACCACCCAGGACAATTCCTACACCTACGTTCCTTGACTTTGGCCTTATGGTGCAGACCTAAGTTCAAGACTTGATAATTTAATACCAAGAAGATTGACTCTGTGTGTGTGTGTGTGTGTGTGTGTGTGTGTGTAGTGTGTGTGGGATGTAGGTGTGTGGTGTAGTGTGTGTATGTATGTAGTGTGTGTGGGGTGTGTGTGTGTGTGTGTGTGTGGTGTGGGTATATGTGTGTGTAATGTGGTGTGTGTGTATGTATGTGGTGTGGTGTATGTGTGTGCAATGTGTGTCTGGTGTGGTGTGAGTGTGTGGGGTGTGTGTATGGGGTGTGGTATGTGGGTGTGAGTATGGTGTGGTATGTGAGTGTGGTGTGGGGTGTGTGTGTGGGGTGTGTGTATGGGGTGTGGTATGTGGGTGTGAGTATGGTGTGGTATGTGAGTGTGGTGTGGGGTGTGTGTGTGGTAGGGTGTGTACATGTGTATGTGTGTGGTATGTGTATACGTGTGTGGTATATGTGTGGTGTGGTATGAGTGTGTATGGTGTGTGTGTGTGTGTGTGTGTGTGTGTGTGTGATAGTGTCTCCTGTAGCACAAATTGTACTCAAACTTACTATGTAGCTGAGGATGACCTTGAACTTCTGATCTTCCTGCCTCCATATCCGTGTATGGCCACGACACTCACTTTATTAAGTACTGAGGATCGAATCCCAGGCTTCATGCATTTGAGGCAAGCGATCTACCGAGTGCTCTGCATCCTCTGCCCTGTTTTGGTTTTCAGGCAGGATTTCATGTAGCCCAGGCTGGCCTGGTGCTCACTGTGGAGCTAAGGATGGCTCCTTGAGCTCCTGACCCTCTTGCTGCCTCCTCCCAGCTTCTGGGGTAACAGGCATGCACCACTACTTCAGGCCAGGAAGATGTTGAATGGATAAAAACTGTCCCACTCCCCAGCTGTGATGTGCCCAGATTGCCCCCACCCCAGAACTCCAAGTCCAGACTGGTGCCACAGCCACCTTGTGTAGTTTGGGGTCCCCTAGGAGATACACACCTTCTGGGTCTGAGGAAGAAGATATATTGCCCTGCCCACCCCAGGTTCACGTGGCCCTCTGCCTGGACTCCTCTAGTGATGCAGAGCTGACCACCTCTCTAGGACACCCACAGCCTCTGATCAAGGCAGGTAAGAATGCCTCCTCAGGTGCCGCAGGCTGTGACCCCAGCCCTTGGGAGGGATCAGGACTTCAGGTCATCCCTGGGTTACAAAGCTCAGGATGAGACCCTACGTCAAAACCAAAACAAGACAGACTTTCTCCTAACACCCCGCTTCCTGTTTTAGGAAATAAGATGGGACGGGAACTGACTTCCTTGTGGTTGAAAAATGTGCAAAAGGAGAAACATCTCGCAGCTTCCGGCAACTGTGGTGGAGAGAGGCTCGCTGCTGTCTCTTAACTGTTTTCTGGAGTTTTCCATAATGGTTTGAATATTTTCATATTCACAGATTCTGTGAACAGTCACTCAACGAGGATCAGGGGACACAGAGGTTTTGGGGGTCATCAGAAAATACTCCATCTTCACAGCATTAGTGCAGGATGGAGGATGTAATGGTCCAGGCAGAGAGGAGGAGAGGAGAGGAAAGGAGAGGACAGGACAGGAAAAGAGGGGAGGGAAGGAGGAGAGGAGGGAGGAGGGAGGAGAGGAGGAGGGGAGGAAGGAAAGACAGAAAGCAGAGAGGAAGGATGCTCCTGCAGACTCAGGGATGCTGATGGACATGAAACTGGGAACCTCAGGACTCCCAGAGGCTTACCCTGCCTCTCCTGATTTTAGATTCCTTTATTTTTTATTTCTTGTTTTCATCATTTTGTATTTTATCTTATTATTTTTGAGATGGATTTTGTAGCTCAAGCTGGTCTGAAACTCTTGATTCTCTGGCCCCAGTCTTCCAAGTGCTATGATTACAGTCAGGTGACTACCACATTCAGCTTCCAGCTTTACTTAAAAAACAAATTCAGGGGCTAGAGAGCTGCCCCAGAGGTCCAGAGGACCCAGGTTCAATTCCCAGCACCCACATGACAGCTCACAACTGTCTGTAACTCCAGTTCCAGGGAATCAGACATACATGCACTAATACACATGAAATAAAAATAAATTCTTTTCAATGAATACCACAAATGTAATTAATATTATGAGTGTAATTAAGAAATAAATTAATAATAACTTCTTTTTAGATTTACTTATTCTGTTTCATGTGTTTCGCAGGCACGTGAGCCTTGTGCCCTGTGCATGTCTGGCGGCCACAGAGGTCAGAAGAGGGTGTCAGAGCCCCTGGACCTGGAGTTCTAGGCAATTGTGAGCTGCCATAGAGACACTAAGAACCCAGCGTGGGTCCTCTGCAAGAACAGCCAGTGCTCTTAACCTCTGAGCCACCCTCCAGCGCTCCCTCTCACTGTATATGCAAAGCGGAAGCAGTCTTTGTTAGTAATCACCACAGAAAAGGGGGAAATGAAGACGTGAGAGAAACTCCCAAGAACCAGAGATTTCCAAAGTTAAAGAATTATTCTTAGTGGGCTGGAGAGATGGCTCAAGGGGTTAAGAGCACTGACTTCTTCCAGAGGACCCTGGTTCAATTCCCAGCACCCACAGTTCACAACTGTCTATAACTCCAGTTCTAGGGGATCTGGCACCCTTTCACATACACGCAGGCAAAACAGCAATGCACATAAAATGAAAATGATTAAATTTAAAAGGCACTGGCATGTCTTAACCATTCCACTTTAAAAAAAAAAATATTCTCAGGACTGGAGGGACGACCCAGTGGAACACTGGCTGCTCTTCAGAGGGCCTGATTGCAGCACCCAGGTCAGTCAGCTTGTGACTCTGTAACTCCAGCTCCAGAAGACACTCTTTCTGGCCTCTGTACACACACACACACACACACACACACACACACACACACACACACACACAACCACTTAAATCTTAAATCTTTAAAAAGCCAGGCATGGTGGTACACACCTTTAATCTTTAATTCCAGCACTTGGGAACAGAGAAAGGCAGAGACCTCTGTGAGTTCAAGGCCACCCTGGTCTACATGGAGTTCCAAGACAGCTAAGGCTACATAATGAGACCCTATCTCAAAACAAACAAAACTTTAAAAATACTTCTTGCCAGGCAGTGGTGTTGCACATCTTTAATCTCAGCAGGTGGATCTCTGTGAGTTCCAGGCCAGCCTGGGATACTGAGTGAGTCCCAGACAGCCAGGGCTACACAAAGAAACCCTGCCTCAACAAAATAAAACAAAACAAAAACAATAAATTAAATAACTATATAATACTTCTTGTGGCTGGGGCTGTAGCTCAGTTAGTGGAATTCTTTCCTTCCCAGCTTGCAGGAAGCCCTGGGTTCGATCCCCAGCACTGTAGACAGCAAACACGGAGGCAGGAGATAAGGATTCCAGTGTCCTTCTCAGCTACACAGTGAGTTCAAGGTTCAGAAAGCCTGAGACACGGAAGGCCTGCCTGAAAATATTTATGCTATGTGTTGCTTATTTGGGCAAGGCTGGCGATCGATCCATGCTGTTAATCCCAGCACTTGAGAGGCAGAGGCAGGCAGATCTCTGTGAGTTCCAGGCCAGCCTGGGCTAAACAGTGAGACACTGTCTCTCATTTTTCTTTCTTTCTTTTTCTTTCTTCTTTTTTTCTTCTTCATTGTTTTGTTCTGTTTTTTGAGACAGGGTTTCTCTGTGTAGCTTTGGAGCCTGTCCTGGAACTCACTTTGTAGACCAGGCTGGCCTCCAACTCAGAAATCTGCCTCCTGAGTGCTGGGGTTAAAGTCATGTGCCACCACTGCCAGGCTGAGACACTGTCTCCTAAAAGAAACCCCAACAAGTTCTTTTTGAGGTTCTTGGAATTAAACCCAGAGCCTCATGCATGGCAAGCAAAGATGACATGTGGTGCAGAGGTGGAACGCTCGCACAGCACGAATGAGATCTTGGGTCTGCTCTCCAGTACTCCCAAAGGAAACAACAAAACCCACGGGTAACGCACCGGCCAGTCTACTTGCTTTTAGCTGATTTTAAACCCCACCATGTTTGAGGCCTGGAGGGATGGCTCAGCAGCTAAGTGTGTACACTGTTCTTGGACAGAGGACCCGATTTCTGTTTCCAGCACCCATGCTGTGACTCTAGCTCCAGGGGGCCTGACACCCTCTTCTAGCCAACGAGGGTACCTGCACTTATGTGTGAGTGCATGTACACACATACACACACACA